GGCATCAGATAAGGCTTTAAAGATATATAAATACAGAAGAGAGTAAAAAAGTAAACAAAAATAATAACTAACGATAAACAAATAATAAATATACAAATAAGTAAAACAAGAAGAAAAAAACCTTTCTGAACACATCTTCCCCCAAAATTTGAACCTCCTTCAAAAAGAAAAAGAAAAAACAACATAGCCTACCTGCAGCTGCCCCTGGAAGATATTGAGCACAAACTTGCCCATGACCTGGTCAGGGTTGGTGAACACCTCGTTGATGAGTGTCTCGGACCGATGGCACAGAGGGACCACTTCAAGGAACAAGTCTCGCGATCTCAGGGCTCCCTGTAGGTGATAGGCAGGATCCAGTTACCAAGTTTTACATAAATAAATATGGCTCTTTCATCAGTGATTATAGGATTAAAAACATAACAATAGCTACCATTATTACAATACTAAAAACAATCATAATCATAACTGCATAAATAACAAGAACATTCAATGACAGTAGTAACAATGATATTCTCAATGATAATAATAATATTAGTAAAAACAACTACAGCCACTACTGCAGTAATAATCACAATCATAACCATAACAATGCTAAAATACCAAGATACCCACCACCAACAATGTTAATTACCAAACTCGCAGCTATCATAAACAAACATGAATAGTAACAAACCACGGCAACACCCATTGGACCCACATGCTGCGCCTCCTCGATGAAGGCGTCAACGCATTGCGAATAGCCCTTGAAGTGCGACAGGATGGCTGCAATCTCCTTCATGCGGTCTTTGTCTCCCGCCCGGTGCGCCTTCACGAATTCCATGATTAGTGACCTCTCGATTTCATCATACTTCTCACCAATCTTCTGCTTGGCATTCTCAAACCTTGTGGGTAGGTCAAGGGGTTGGAAGAATAGGGAGAGAAACAGAGCGGAGAAAGTATACAGGAGGAAGAAGGACAGAGGAGAGAGGGAGGAAAGAGGAAGAGGGAGAGGAGAGGAGAGAGAGGAGAGGGAGGGAGAGGAGAGGGAGAGGGAGAGGGAGAGGGAGAGGGAGAGGGAGAGGAGAGGGAGAGGAGAGGAGAGAGGGAGGGGAGGGAGAGGGAGGAGAGGGAGAGGAGAGGGAGAGGAGAGGGGAGAGGGAGAGGGAGAGGGGAGGGAGGGAGAGGGGAGAGGAGAGGGAGAGGAGAGAGGAGAGGGAAAGGGAGAGGGAAGAGGGAGAGGGAGAGGGAGAGGGAAGAGGAGGAGAGGAGAGGGAGAGGAGAGGGAGGGAGAGGGAGAGGGAGAGGAGAGGAGAGGGAAGGGAAAGGGAGAGGGGACGAGAAGGAAAGGAAAGGGAAGGGAGAGGAGAGGGAGGGAGAGGGAGAGGGAGAGGGAGAGGGAGAGGGAGAGAGGAGACGGAGAGGAGAGGAGAGGGAGAGGGGAGGGAGAGGGAGAGGGAGAGGGAGAGGGGAGAGGGAGAAGAGGGAGATGGAGAGGAGAGGGAGGGAGAGAGAGGAGAGGAGAGGAGAGGGAGAGGAGAGAGAGGGAGTGATGAGGGATGGATGAGGAAAATGATGAGGAGAGGGATGAAAGTGTGAGGTAAAGGTGAAGGTGAAGGTGAAAAAGGTGAAATGGCAAGAAGGGAAGAAGAAGAAAGAAATAGAGAAAGAGCAAGCCAGTCAAGTATGGGAAGGAGAAGGGGTAGTGAAAGAGAAAAAATAATAAACAAATGTTATACATATCAAATGGAAAAAATATATATCAATTATACATACATCATGCACACTTTCTTTCAAATATGAATTGAAAAAATCACAAAATCATCACATAAATCATAAAGTGAATGAAAGTAAATTACAAAATACACAATCACTGACAACATACTTCCCGGAAGGTAATTCTTGAGCTATGAGGTGTAGTTTTTGAATGACGTCAGCTGCTTCATATATCTGAAAGGAAAATGTCATGTCAATAATCATGCTTTAGGTACATGGATAACATGGCTAATCAATTATCTTTGAAATTCTCATAAATAATCAGTGTCAAAATGATACAACAGCAGTTTTTAGATAAAATTTGGTACATTTTGTGTATATGTAATATATATATAAACATATGTGTGTGTGTGTGTGGTATATATATATATATATATATTATATATATATATATATTATATTTATATATATATATATATTATATATATATTTATATATTTATATATAATATATATATATTAAATATATATATATATATATATAATATATATTATTATATATATATATATATATTATATATATATAATATATAGTATATAATTATATATATATTATATATATATATATATAGATATATATATAATATAAATATATATATATATAATATATATATATATATATATATATATATATATATATATATATATACATATATATATAATATATATATATATATTATATAGATATATACATATATATATTATATATATATATTATATTATATATAATTATGGTTAATATATATATATATAAAATTATATATATATATATATATATATATATTATATATACATATTTACATATTTTACATTATTTACATACTTACATATATCCATAATTTACATATTTTTACAGTACATACATTACAACATAATTACCATACATACCACACATATATACATAACTTATATACATACTATATTCATACATTAATACATTACATACATGCATTCATATATAGCATACTTATATATGTACCATATAGTACATATATACATAGCATACATACTATAATACATAAATACCATACAACATACATACATAACATACATACATACATATACATACATACATACATACATACATATATGTATACATACATACATACATTGCATCATTATAATACAATATACATATCAATATACATATGTAATATACATACAGTAACATATATACAATTGATATATACATAACCATAATATACACACTTTATAGTATACATATACATATACATATATATACACTTGTATATATACATATACATCTACCATATATATACACTTGATCGATATATATACATATACATATTGCATATATATACCATACATATATGCATATATATACATACATATTAGTATAATATTATCACATTACAGTATTATAAATATATATGACAATTATCATAGCCAGATGAGTAAGGGTGAGCAGTACATATATATACATATATTTACATATACATTATATGAGTATACATATTATATATTACAGAATTACAGTATATATACAATATAATATAGTTTATACATATACATATATACACACAACACACATATATAAGTATATATATATATTATATATATATATATATATATATGTATATACTGCGTTATTCTATGTATCTATGTATATATGTATGTCATGTATTTTTTAAAATTTTTTATATATGTATTATATGTATATATGTATATATTATATATGTTATATATCGTATATATGTATATAGTATATAGGTATATAGGTATTATAGGTAGTTATACGGTATATAGGGTTATAGTATATAGGTTTATATAGGGTATTATAGTTATATAGGGTATATAGTATATATGGTATTATTATATATATATATATATATATATATATATATATATATAATATTGTAATTAATATATTCAGGCCTATACATTACACCACCATCAATCAAAGTTAAAAAAATTTCACAAATACATGGCAGGACATGCATATAAACAAACGTACAGCATAGACATAAACATACACTTAACACACACAACCTTGTCCTAAAATCCAAAAACAAACACAGAAACCCTCACTCCCCTCAATAACCATTCAGCTAATCTCACCTTTAGCTTGTCCGTGAACACTTCCGAGACCAAGGGCCCCGGCAGGAGGAACTCGCGGAAGTGGTTCATCAGGCGCTGGGCCTCCACGGCTCTCGAACGTGGAGTGTTCACACTCTCCAGCTGGTCGCCCAGGTGCACGACTTTTGTGGCCACGCTGTTGATGTGGCTGTCCAGGTCTTGGAAGCTCTGGAAGGCCTCCTGTAACAGAGAAAAAAAGTAGGCATTTAAAAAAAAAAAAAAAATAGGGTTCCAAAATAGTAGGGTTTCAAAAAAGTAGGGTTTAAAAAAAGTGGGATTCCAAAAAAGAGGGGTTTCAAAAGAGTGGGGTTTCAAAAGAGTGAGTTTTCTGAAGTTAGTGACCAGATCAAATTTTCCATCCCAGTAATTCAAGCGTTCAATTCTCTTGCAGTTCATTCATTTATAATAATGCCAAACTCTGGATTAAGTAATATTGTAGTAACATATAGAATCTAAGGTGGGTGGTAAGGATGGATGAAGGAGGAGAGGGGGAGAGGGGGAGAGGTGGGTGGGTGGGTGGTTGGTGGGGTGGTTGGAGTGGTTGGGTGGGGTGTGGTGGGGTTTGGGTGGGTGGTTTTTGGGTGGGTGGGTTTTGGGTGGGTGGGTTTTGGTGGTGGGTTTTGGGTGGGTGGTTTTGGGTGGGTGGTTTTGGGTGGGTGGTGTTTTGGGGGTGGGTTTGGGTGGTGTGTTTGGTGGGATGGGTTTTGGGGTGGGTCGCGCGTGGGGGTGGGTGGTGGCTGGGTGGGTGGGTGGGTGGGTGGGGTGGGTGGTGGTGGGTGGGTTGGGTGGTGGGTTTGGGTGGAGTCGGGAGGAGAGGAGGAGAGGGAGGGAGCCGAGGAGAGAGGGGAGAGAGAGAGGCGCGACGGTGGAGGGAGGGAGAGGGAGAGGGGAGAGGAGGGAGGGGAGGGACGGGAGGGAGGGTACAAGAAAGAGCACGACAAGGGAGCAGACAGGACGAGAAGCGGAACACGAGGAACAGGGCAGACAGAAAAAGATCAGATCACAGTATAAAGATCAACCACACAATGAGGACAGGGCACAGAGAGAGGAACAACACAGAACACAAACCCACCCGATTGTTGTCCAGGAGTTGTGCTACATTCTGCCCAGTGTTTACTCTTCCTTCTCGCACCGCTGCCTCATAACGTTCCA